ATAATCCGCTTGAGAATTGCCGATCAATCTCGTATGTGATCTCTGATTTACACGAGTTCGATATTTTACCTGAATGTGTCCGCCGGTGATAAATTGTAATGATGGTCATCGACCAAAACCGTAAGGACCTTCTCCAATGGATAAGATGGCTTTCTTTTTAACGAGGCCACGTCGCAATGTCCAAGATGGCCGCTTTGTTCCGTTTCCACGAGGCCACGTCGCAATGGCTAAGTTCGTCCTTCCTTCAGTCGTATCGAGAGAGATACTTTCAATCGCCTCTGAGCAGGGCTGCAATGCCTCCTCTGGTATTACGGAGACGTCCTCGTGATCTGTCTCAGACTCAATAGTCTGGCGGATTTCAATCGCGTAGCAATTATACGAATATACGACGCCGTGTAAAAATGAACGCGACTGTACGCCTCGCTAGCCGGAAGACGAATACCTTCCCGGCGGGCTTCACGTTCATCCCGACACGTTCACGCTTGCGCAGTATCGTCGGTCCGTGCCTTTTTCCGGCGCTGGGGCGCAACGTGGTCGTCGCAGCGCTCGCAAAACACTTAACGCTAAAGATAACTAGGGAACTGTAACACCGATGCCATCTATGAGCATTCTACCGAATTGCCACTTACATCAACAATGTTCACATAGGGTGCGTTTTGCTATTCACTCGCAGTACTGGCAGCACTGTAAATCCGTTCCAATATACGCGGCAGTAAGCTGTCAAAGCGTTTTCGTGTTCATGTGACGTCATAGATTTTGTCGTCACTCCCTACTTTTATTACTGCGGCTCGCGAGGTGAGGCATTCGCAGTAAAAACATGGCGGCTATGGCGGCACCTTTGAAAAAATTGGTCCTTACCTATGTGAACCTTGCACCCGACTTTCAAAAAATTAATTTTTTTACGGAAAACGTTAGCATTTGGTTTGTAGTTGTTTGTAGTAACAAAAATTTCGTTTGTAGTTTAATACATTAAAAATTATAAACATTTAAAAAATTACTCGCACCTCACTTTGAGATAACTCAAATCCGCTTGCGCCATTTTCTTCAAAATTGTTTGTAGTTGTTTGTAGTGCTTTTCTTTTCGTTTGTAACTACAAACAAACTGCAACTGCAACTGCACCATTCAAAAGTTATTATATTTTTGCAATAAACAAAAAGTGTAACTTTGCCAATTTTGGAGATATTTCAAATCCGCTTGTGCCATCTTTTTCAAAAACGTTTGTAGTTGTTTGTAATGCTTTTCTTTTTGTTTATAGTTGCACTGTTCAAAAGTTATTATATTTTTGCAATAAACAAAAAGAGATAATTTTGAGAGACAATTTTGGAGATATTTTAAACGAAAACGGAACGAAAACTATTACAAACAACTACAAACAATTCTACATCGAGTCGCGCAATTAGTTTTAAAATATTTCCAAAATTGGCAAAGTTACACTTCTGGTATATTGCAAAAATATCATAACTAGATATATCTAGATAGTGCTAAATACAAGTAACTAGATAGTGCAAAATACAAAAGTTACTCTTTCTGTTTATTGCAAAAATATAATAACTTTTGAATGGTGCAACTATGAACAAAAAGAAAAGCACTACAAACAACTACAAATGATTCTAAGAAAGATGGCGCAAACGGATTTGAGATATCTTAAAGTGGAGTGCGAGTAATTTTTTTAATTTTTATCGTTTTTAATGTATTAAACTACAAACGAAATTTTTGTTACTACAAACAACTATAAACAAAATGCTAACGTTTTCTGTAAAAAAATTAATTTTTCGGAAGTCGGGTGCCAGGTTCACATAGGTTTGGTCCTTGTGGACCTGGAAGGCAACAACGAGAAATATACAGTAATTGTTAATTATGAAAATGCGGAAAAAGCCCGAAAAGATTACTACTACTACTACTACTAAATTAATATAATAAATATAATAATAAATAATTTCGATATTTTTATAAATCAGAAAACTGTTATTTATTTTATAGACATAACTTTTGCAACATTATTGTTTAAGTACAAGATTCTTTTTTATATATTTAGAATAGGTGCTCCTATCGTCGTGTCACGTCGTATCTTAGATAGGTTAAGATAGGTTATATTTCTTTCTTATACGGGTGCGTTTCGACATTCACTAGCAGTACTGGCAGTACTGTGGTCGTCGTTCCGTTATTCCAGCCTGAAAGTAACAACAGCAATATAGAAACGCTCCTGCAGTTCTACTCAATGACGTCATATCGTCAGTACTTACAGTGAATATCGAAACGCACCCATACACAATCTCTTCACGATTTTTATTGCCCGTTTCTAACAAAAATTGATAAATATATTGGCTCTATAGCGTCTACAAATTTGTGGAAAATTTTTAAATACGACGAATTAACGATCAATATGCGCCAACAAGGAGATGAATCTTATCGTGAATTACTCTCGAGAGTTCGTATTGGTTTATTGACAAAATCTGATTTTGAGATTCTCGAAAAAAGAAAAATATCTTTTAAAGGCGAGTCTTTCGAAACAAGATTATACGAATTATGTAATTTTATTGATAATTTGCCACCTGATACCGTTTGTTTACTGCCTACTTGTCATATGTTCGATGTTCTTAACACTGCAATGTTAAGACGTATTGATTCAAAAGAAACATTAATTGCTGAAGATACTGTTGCGCCCGCGCTGAGACACCCGTTGCACGAGCAGAAGTCGAAGATCGTCCCTGACGACCAGCTGTTTTGAATTCATCGATTAACCACGATTTGTTGTTTTGTTTGTTTTGTGCTGAGCCTCCGTCTCCGAGCGGACGTGACAGCTCGTTTCTGTGTTTTAATCTGTTTGCTCTAATAAACGAGTCTTTCTATTTCTTACATTGTGTCGTCTCATTGACCGCGAATACCGGTTGCGCGAGTGAGGGAGAGTGCGAGCGGCGAGACGCGAACGCGGACTCGGCGAGCGCAACAATACGTTTGAATGTAGTAATCATATAAGAAAGAAAGTATTTTAAAAATTGACGGATAATGATGAAGATAATACTAAAACAACTGGACTTTCAAGACAAATTACAATTAAAATTGGAGCTAAAGTCATGATAAGACGCAATATTGATGTCACTTTGGGCCTTGTAAATGGTACAATTGCTACAGTTATTTCTGTTGTGCAGGATACTGATTATGTAGAAAAGATAAAACTTCTTTTACCGTCTGGTTTGGAGTATTTTATTGAAAGAGTAAGTGTCAAGTTTCAAGTAATGGATATGGATAAAGCGTATGTTGTTAGAAAACAATTTCCATTATCTTTGAGTTATGGTATCACCATTCATAAAAGCCAACTTAAGCTTGCGAAACGCTGTTATAGATATAGGTAATTCTGTATTTAGTCATGGTCAAGCATACGCAATGTTATCCCGAGTAACATCTCTGGATGGATTGCATTTAATTAATTTTAATCCGTTATCTGTAACAGCTAGTGATAGAGCTATTACCGAATATAATTGGCTAATAGCCAATTTCTTCTAAGGTGGCAGTCTCAATAGCCAATCTCTTTCTAAGGTGGCAGTTAAAAAGAAATGAAGAGTGAGGTTGACCCTAGAGTTATCCAACGGTGAAGAAATTGGCCTTAAGGGGATCCTGCAGTGACAGGCGAACTCGAACGTGAATACAACCGCCACCCAAGCGGAACTAAAAATGTCGATAATACTGACATTTCTAATCCCGGTTTTGCCCCACACAGCACATAATATTGCAGAAATATTGCAGTAATATTGCAATATAGTGAAAATATTACGTATTACAATAAAAAATTTCAGAAATATTACTGATGTATTACACGTTTTTAAATAATATTGAAATATTACAGTAATATTGCTACAATATATTGTTGAAATATAATACTTTAAGTAGCAAAATAATGTCAAATGACATTTTAATGACATCTTATTGACGTCATTAAAACGTTATTAAGGTATCACACAATCATACGTATTGCACAGATAATATATACCAGTTAAAGAATTTTGGACTGAAAGAAAGAAAAATCTAAATCAAAAAATGTGATGAAATCAAAAGAGACTGACTTGTACTTTTGGGGAATAAAAGTGATTAAGATAAATTTTATAAGTGGTGGTATTTAATTTTATAACTTGTTATTTGTTTTGTAATAATAAAAGGTAATTATATGTACAATTAATTTCTAATTAAGAGCCAGTAAGTAAATTGATAATAAAATAAATGGATAAAATTTAAAATTTATATTTCTTATATAATCAATATTAAACTTTTCAAATTACGAGTTTGTCACACGGATAAACAGAACGTTTCTGAGTGCGTAAGTGGAGGGAAGAACGCTAGTGTGTGTGGCTATGCGCTTGGTCGCAGCACCGACCCCCATCATTCCCGGTCTTCTCTCGCTGTCTCTTGCATGGCTCCGTGAGACCACGCAATCACGTGTACGACACCGCACAGAAACAATCGTTTTAATTTCAGGTAATTTTTCTTTATTTAATAAATATTGTTCACACAAATATTTTTAAAAGTATTTTTGTATAATTATTACTAATATGTACATTGTACATATATATTTGGCGATTTGTCTTTAAATCCAAAAATAGAGATTACGTGGCATAATGGTCTGCAAAAACCACGTTAATATCATAAAAATCATTTCAATGACCATCTTAAAATACATATATTTGCCTTTATAACCTTATTGAACGAGTCTCTAATGAAATTATTTATTAACGGTTTTATACTTAAATCTGGATGCTAACTTAACCTCAAAATTTTCAACAGTTTAATCCAACTGGAGCCCTTAGTTGGAGATACGTGATAGAAATATGCCGATCCTAAATCTTCTAAAAAGCAGTTTAATCATTAATTAAATGATTTAACCATAATTATTTAACCATTTACATGACTTTATGATAATTATTGTTCTTGTGCTATATGTTACAGTATTGCTTTCCATCAGTGGATGTTCATGCAGTCCAGAGCAGCACCAAGTAGTTTGATGGACGAGCAAAAGATTTATTTATTAGATATGTAAATAAGAAAAAATTAAATTTGATATAAACCATACTTTCCAATATTAATCGTCAATACTGAAAATCCAAAGTATACGTGTAACATCAACTACAGATTTTCAGTATACATAGATAGTGAATATCACAATACAAATTCATACTTAACCTACTTTTATGTTTAAAATATATAATTAGATGTAAATAATAATTACTGTTTTTGTATTATGTTACAGTGTTACGTTGCTTTCCATCAGTGGAAGTTCACGCAGAGCAGCACCAAGCAGTTTGATTTCTATCAAACTCTTCTGAGCGACAGCTTCATTTATTAGATACATAAGTAAGAAAAATTTAAACTTGGTATAAACTGCGTTCCAATATTTTAATATCCAGTACTGAAAATCTAAAGTGTATATATAACATTAACCATAGATTTTCAGTATAGACAGTGAATATCAGAACACGTCATATTTAACCCCGTACTCTTATGTTTTAATATGTAATTATGTATGAAATAAACAGGGTGATTTTTATTTCGTGTGCCAATCATCTCCGCTATAATTATCTCAGAAAGTATTGATTTATTGGAAAAATGTTTCAGATAAAAGTTGGAGAGTTCAAGGAGGACCAATAGACAATTTTATTAAATTTTGAGTCCTGGACTTGTGTTAAGCCTAATAAGATCCAAGTCAATTTATTTAAATAGAAACCCCCTTTTTATGGTATCATCTTTTTCTACTAATTAATATGAACAACTTTTGTCTGAAACATTTTTTTATTTGCCTTATACTTTTTGAGATATTCAAGGAAAACTTGGTATTTTTTTCAATATTTAGCTTACAATAGATGTTTGTCAATAAATGTTCGTCGGAGTGAAAAGTGGTACAGGACTTTTTGACTTGATTTGGTTTGAAGACTATACTGTTGCAATAGTATTCTAATTTCTTTAAATAATTATGTACACATGAAAGCTTCAAGAAAATGTATACACAAATATTTAAAGAAATTAGGGTATTATTGCAATAGCATATTCTTGAGACCATATCAAGTAAAAAAGTCTTGTATCATTTTCACCTCCGACAAGCATTTATCAAGATATAAGCTAAATATTAAAAAAATTAGCAAATTTTTCTTGAATATCTCAAGAAGTATAAGGCAAATAAAAAATGTTTCAGACAAAAGTTGTTTATATTAATTAGTAGAAAAAAATGATGTAATAAAAAACGAATTTTTATTTAAAAAATTTGACTTGGACCCTACTGGGCTCAACATGGGTTTTAGACTCAAAATCTAATAAGATCATTCATTATTCCTCTATAAACCCTCCAACTTTTATCTGAAACATTTTTCCAATAAACTAATACTTTCTGAGATAATTAGTGAAGATAATTGGCATACAAAATAAAACTCACCTTGTATAATTAGATATAAATAATAATTACAGTTTTTGTATTATGTTATAGTGTTACGTCATTCTTTATCAGTAGAAATTCATACAGTGCAGAGTAGCATGGAGCAGTTTTGAAAAACAAAGAAATAGAAAGATAATATCAATATAATTTTTTTAATATTGTATGTAATACTATTATTAAAAATAACAATTTGATAAAATTTAATAATATTCATTAAAATGTTTTAATTTTTAGCAATATTAAATAAATATTATCTAATATTACACAAATAATATTATTGCGTTTACAATATTAATATTATTTTAAAATTGTATGTAACAATACTATTAAAAATAATTTAATACAATTTAATAAAAATTATTAAAATGGTTTTTTAATTTCTAGCAATATTGTACAAATATCACGCAAATATTATAGTAATTTTACCGTAATATTACTGATATATTACAGCAATATTACCGCAATATTACTAAAATAAATATCAGTAATATTTGTATAGGAACTGAGTATCAAACCTTTTATTCGAAGGGAAGAAAAGAACGATGCCTTAATTGCTTAATGAATCAATTATACTTTATTTGGCAGAATCTCATCGAATATCAACATTCGTTGCACGGGTAAGGAAAACTGCCAAAAACCTTACCAGTATTCATAAAATAAAAGTACAATGTTTATATCATTTGATAACAAAATCAAAGTATTACATTCGGTTGTGCAGGAATGCAGCAATTAATGTTTATCTCAATTAGACAATGTCAAAGTAATTTAAACGAAATCAAATTAATACACAATATAATAAACAGTCATAAACATATGCAAAAAACGTAAATCATACCAGAACAATGCAGTAAAGGATTATATTGAATCGTTGTCATTTATGATTGAAGGTTTTTCTTTGTTACTTTTTATCGGATATTTAATCTTTCTTTTACCAATCAAACTACTAAGTTCAAGTAATGTTTCAGCATAGAACGTCGAATAAGAATATAATTTCTGAAAGGAAAGATCATGTTTAGAATTCGATATGTTATAATAGTGTATTGTACTTTAATCATTATTGACCTGGATAAACTTGTATAAGTTGAATATAGACTAATATCGCAAATTATTACCAAAATATATACAGAAAAACACGCAAGAAATCGAATAATAATAATTACGGTTAATAAAGGAATATAGTTTCTCGAACTGAGAATTTCGACAGTATTTACTATTTGTATCATCCGATAATAATATCTATATTGACTTTAGTTACGTTTAATACGCACTATGTATTATTCTTAGGATACGCAATGTCGTACTAGTTTAACACGGTATATCACGCTCAAATCACGCGATGTTTCACGCCTCAGATATTTCGTTGTCACGCGCCGAACACGCTATATGTTATACGGATAGAAGCACGGATAGCTTTATACTATTCGTCTTCTGGAAAATTCACGAAGGAACTGAGCTCTCGAGAAAAGGCCTTTCGATCGTATTAATTTATGCGCGCCACAAAATGGAATCGTGAAAATCTCACGATATTCTCAGTAATCAATATCCGAGGATTAGGCTGTGTAAAGCCTGAATATAATGTCAACCCAAGAACGGTTGTACCAAATAAAATGATAAGGTTACCTTAAAATTAGCCAAAATTAGGCTTGTTCCAGAATAAAATAACTGGAATTCTCTCATCAGAAGTATACTTATCAAGTACAAAGACGACGTAAGGGATCCTCGTCCTTCCAAAAATATATCTCGGGATTAATGGCCGCCCTCGTCTTCACTATCAGAATTCCCTCGTTTCCTCTTCAGCAGTCAGAAAGTCCAGAGACAAGGTTTCGTCTTTCCCAAATAATGATGTAGCTGTATATAACAGCTCTGCTTCCTCAGAAGCCGAAATATTACGGATTTTACGATTATAGAAAGTAGCGTATCTACGCAATATCAAAGCGATAACTGACATGCTCACTCGTTGAGCGTCTGAAAAGAAGTGACGACGAGAACGTCGTTGTTTGCGCGGTAAAATCAGGGAACGCGGGAGGTCGATAACAAATAAATCTGTCTATAGATTTCTCTCTGCTCATGGCTCTGTTTTACCCCAGGCAGCTCTGCTCGTCCTTACTCTCAATTCGAATAAATGCTAGATTCTGAACATCCGTAATGTGTCCACACGTTTTCGGATATTGCGAACGACTGACTTGTCTATTCAGTCGCGCATCGCGAACGACTGACTTGTCTATTCGGTCGCGCATCGCAATCGAGGCTTTCGCGCCCCCCACTCCTTGTTTACGCTTCGCGCTCCGAAATTCCGCGCGTGCCACCTGTCGCACATGTGTCACACATGTGTCGCGCTCCAAATTCTCGCACGTACTTTCTAAACAATATTACTGATATTCATTTTTGCGGACATTTTAATATTACTGAGATATCTCAGTAATATTACTGCAATATTTCAGATACATTTCATTGTAATATTGCAATGGAAAAATAATATTGCTGCAATATTTCTGTAATATTATGTGCTGTGTGGGGCATGATACATAAAAAAAACGTTTTATTGATTAAAAAAATTGCAATCTATCTTCTTAGACTCCCTCTTTTCCTTACCTATCCCTTTTCCTAACCCCTCTTACAGTGATGGTGCTGTTATGCATGTGGTAGTAGATCGTACGACGCTACTACCATATACATGACATTTCGGTGTTGCCGATATCGAAACCGAAAATTGTCAAAACGTTTGTGCGGCTTTGGAAGCGAGCGAGCCGGCCAGGGCCGAACAATACGAAAGGCACCCCGGGAAAAGAAGATTATATATAATTATATATAATTACATATAAATATATATATTATATATGATTATATATGGACATATATAATTCCAAATATAACTAAATATGAACAATAGATCATGCACTCATATAAGATTCATATGGAAGTATATATACCCTTATATGATTATATAATATCATTATATATATCTATATATAATTATATATGTATGATAATATAAAGACAAAATTCATATATAATCATTGTTTGGCGCTCACCAAACTGTAGATAGATGCATGTATCATACTTAATTGTTTAGTCTCGTTACTCGTTGTACATAGTATTCTTGCGTACCTAGTCTTAAGTATTTCGGTGACTCGCGTGAAAC